GCAAGTGATTATCTGCCCGGCACGACAGTCTACTTGCTTGCTTGCTTGAACGGGCTCGTTATCTCGGGAAGGATGTCCGTAAACACGGGTAAGGAAAGCGACCGTCGAAAAGAAAAGAAGAAAAAGGCGAGTTTCGCCATGACATTTCTCGAAGTTGACGCGACGCTCACGTCCCGAAGATACAACAGTAACAGCACACACATCCCTCTCCATATCCCACCACATCTTGTGATCGTAAAAACGCAGATTGTGAATAAATCAATAAGAAGAAAGTGTGAATATAGCCATGCTATAACATCTATATTTTCCCTACTGATCTGTTGTTTAATGCTCGCTCTCACTTCCCCTCCTTCCAATCGTGGGGAAATATAGAACAGTGATAACAGCAGCGACGAAAATATCACAAAAATACATATCTCTACTTTCCCCCGACGGACAACTGGAAGCCTTTCCCTTCACACTCACTCTGATGCCAAACAGCCTAGCACGCGCTTACCTGGAAAGCCTATTGTGATCCCAGCCGCCTAGGGTTTCTAGAACATTCGTTTAAGAGGTAATCATCGAGAAGAAACTCCTTAACTAATGGGAGCTTGCAAGAAGAAATGAAAGGGCAATTCTCGCGAAAATTAGGGGGGGGGGGGTGACGAAAAAGGCAAGAGGTACTTCTCGCAAAAAGGATCAAAAGTGGAAATAATCATATGAGCAATGCTGGGGGGGGGGGGGGTCAATTATTTTCGTAAAATTTTAATGCAAGAGAGGAAAGGAAGGGGCACAAAATAAAGAGCGCGAATGGCAGGAGCTGGGGTGGGGGAGGGGGGAAGGGGATGCGGGAAATGGCGTGTCGTGCAGAGCCAGTAATGCCAGCCCCGCAGGCACGCGAGGAGTCTGCCGTCCTGGGAGATCGATCAGGAACTTCAGATCAACCCCCACCCCTTCAACCTCTCCCCCCTCTATCCACACACCCCTCCACTATCTATCCCATTCCTCCATCCACTTCCACATACTAACCATCCACCCTCTCCCTCCAACCGCTTTACCCTTCCTCCCCGTGTTCATCGTCGATCCGGTTATTATTAATGCAAGCCCAGGTTATTACTGTGGGTTCTTAACCTTTACGAGGGAACAGGGTATAGCTCCCACTCTATCAATCACTGACTATCGCACTCACAGACACTCGTTTCCCCTAAGCATGCAAGCACGCAGGGAGGCAAGCAGGGAGGCAGGCAGACAGGCAGAGAGGCAGGCAGGCAGGCAGGCAAGCAGGCAGGCAAGCAGGCAGGCACTCGCTCTCAATCACGCAATCACTCACTATTTACAAAACCATTATCCCTCAACCGCAATCACAAACACAATATCACTGCGTACTGTGCAGAAGCAAGCGACACCTTCCAGAGAAAAGCCGCGTCTCCCCTTGAATCAAGAATGGCAATAACCTCTTCATAATAAAATATAAAAAAGACGTTTGGGAAATAACTGCGCATTCCGCCCATCTCCATGAATAATTCAGGCGCGCCCCAGACATACAAAGCTCCGGGTTAATGGGTAAACAAGAGGAGGAAAGGTCACCCAGCGCCCCCCGGGAGCCGCCAAGACAGGAAGCAGCAGGTGTTGCAGTTAACGAGACGCTCGGTTCCTTACGCGGACGAACTTTAAGAATACGTTAGTACGATCCCCAGCATGGACGGAAAACCAAGAAAACAGATACGTGGTAAATACCCAATTTTAACATAGGTGTCCAACTAGGAATGGAATAATAAATAAGACAGAAAATTATACAATCACAAATAAAGCAAAAAAAAAAGCCTCAAAAGCCGCTGGAATGAATATCAAAGGAATTTATATAAACTGAAATTGATAATTCATATCTCGTCCGTGACCGCAATCCAATGATTCGCATCACATCACCTATCCGAATAATTTCGTCGAGTTCGCAACCGAAAAAAGTTATTGAAAAGTCTGGGGTTAAAGATCTAGGCTGGAAACACTTCGAAACGGTTACTTAGATTAGCTGATAGCGTTTAGCTTGGTAGCATAAAGCCATAAATCCGATTTCTTAACCATAAGGGATAAAGTTCATTACTACTAACAATAATTACTTAACCACTGCCTTCACCACTGCGGCTGGATCCCAAGGAAAGCGCACGCAAAATGCAAGCGCGTACGGTCCGCTGGAGAGCCGGCCCAAACCCAGATTGTACGTCCCAAATCCGTGAAAAATTCAAGGCCAAATTGCCGCGTCATGATCCCACTACAGCGAGGACGCCAGGCGCAGCACAACAGCCCGCAAGCCCGGTCGGGCTGGGATATCCCGCTGCAACACATAACCTTCGCGTTAATGACCAGGGAAGCATCGCTGCACAGCCACGACTGCAGCAGTCGGCGTTTGCAACACAGAGAGAGGTCGCGACGAGGTTAATAAGTTGTGGCAAGTGGGTTTATACAGGTCATCGTGTGAACTGGGCCTAGGGACAAAAGTATACTGGGGTGGACGGCGGCATGCCCAATGATACCATGATGCCAATGTTCGGCAATCGCGTTCGTGCACTTGCAGTTGTGCAACACCAAGCGCACTGCCTGCAAAGGCACTCACTCATCGACACGGCTCAATTGCAAGGCTGAATGTGCGGTTCGGCGGCCGTCCGGAAAGACCCTGGGTGAAAATCGCTGACGAAGGAAGTGACTCACGCGGAGATCGGGCCGAACCCTGATGACGACGGCGGTGATTACTCGGCTCCAACGCCAGCCCTCACCGCGCCGCCCAAAACCGGGGCAAACAGGCGGAAGGAATGCCGTAATCCACGTCGCCCTCCTCCCGCGGAAGCCGACTGTGACGAGGATCAATGCCCACACGGTTCACGGAGGCGCCCCTCCGGAGGCCCCGCCGCCGTGCCGCTTCTTCCGTTTGGCGTTTCCAGAAAAAGGGCGCGGAGACAAGAGGGGCGAGGGGGAAGAGGGGGGGGGGGCGTCCCCGGGGCGAAAAAACGCCGAAGGACGGCCAACGGGACGAGGGGGGGGGGGGTCATCTTGCAACAAGACCGTCAAGTGTTCAGGGGCGTCAGTGAAGAATGGTTTGGGCTGCATCCCATCCTACAAGGACAAGGGGATGAAGGGATCGTGTGCGTGTATGTGCATGTGTGTGTGCATGCGTGCGTGCATGTGTGTGTTTGTATGTGTATGCATGTATTTGTTTGTAGGTGTGTGCATGCGTGCGTGCATGTATGTGCATGTTAGCGTGTGTATTTGTGTGCGCGCGCGCATGTGTATACGTGTGTACACTGTGTGTGCGCGCATGTGTGCGTGCGTGTGTCCGCGTGCGCGTTCGTCTGAACGTGCGTGTGTCCGTTCGTATGAACATGTGTGTGTTCGTCTGAACGTGCGTGTGCGTGTTCGTATTAACATGTGCGTTCGTCTGAATATGTGTGCACGTTCGTCTGAACGTTCGTGTGCGTATTCGTGTGTGTGTGTGTGTGTGTGTGTGTGTGTGTGTGTGTGTGTGTGTGTGTGTGTGTGTGTGTGTGTGTGTGTGTGTGTGTGTGTGTGTGTGTGTGTGCGCGCGCGCGCGCGTGCGTGCGCGTGTGTGCATCTGTACGTGCGTGTGTGCGCACGTTTGAATGTGCGTTTGTGTGCACACATTTGTGAGCGTGCGATGTGTGTACGTGAATATGAGTGCCCGAGGAGTGAACATGTAGGGAGGAGGAGATCGATATAACCCCCGGCATCCTTGGCCAGGCCTCTTGGTGCGCGTCTCCACCCACAACCCTTTAACTGCTCCCAAACAATGCGGCTTTCCCCTCGACGCCAGGCACAAGCGGGTCCTTGGCCGGCAGAAGCACGAGGCGGGGAGGGGAACGGGAAGGGGAGAGGGGGTAGGAGGTGGGAGCGATCTCCCCTCTCTGTCCACCCTAATGCCAGGAACATCAAAGGCGTTTTCTCAGATAAGAAAATTCCTCCAGATGCAGCGCGGAGTCCAGCGAGCGGTGCTCTTACAAGGCCTCCCACCGCAAACTGTGTGGCCGCGGCACTTTCCTCTCTCCTTGACTCTGTCTGCCTTTACCATGGCCAACTTTGATGCGAGAGCCACGGGAATGACCATCTCCCATCTATGTAACGAAAAACTTCCCTGCAAATATCAACCGCTACTAAACCTACCCCCCTCAACACCCCTCCAAGCAGTCAAGTCATGGATGTGGCATGTCCTTCCTTATGTTATGCTATTTGGTGTTTAGTTTTTTCCTTGGAGCAATCCTGAATGATCATGACAAGTTTTTTTTCCATCTTTCCTAAGTGATTGATTGCATGCAAGACGGTTCAACAGATGAAAAGGGTTCTAATTACATCCCCGATGTTTATCGTCATTCCCAGTTTTTCGTCTGTGTGCGTTCTTGAAACGAGCGTGGGGCTGCAGGCGAGCTTTAAAAAGGAGTAAATTTGGGGTCTTGAGAGCCCGTGCATGACCTTAATCCGCATCCCAAACACAAAATCAATCGCAGATCCAACTTCTGATGGCAGAGCAGGCGATCTTCTCAGCTCCTCTTGCCCGCCATCAGCTGACGAGGCGAATCACACACTCGTGCAGGAGGAATGCCTAGCCCACAGCCTCCTGCGAGACGCATCCCCGGCCATAATCAGCATCACTAGAGAATCCTTCCCTAAGCGCCCTCCCGCCATTATTCCTGGCCACAGCTGACTCCTACAACTGTGAGGAAGAAGCCTTCCCGCCCTCATCCCCTCTTACCATCTTCTTCAAAGGCTCCGTGCCTTGTAAAGAAGCCTGAATATTTTTTACGAAATGGGTCTTTAGGTATATTTTTGGGCGAAAGAATTCTCAACCAGACCCACTGGCGGCATGGCACCAATTACCTTAGAGCAATCTGTTACCCGAAACAGTCTATATGACGTTAATTTTCGTTGAAATTAATGATTATATTTCAGCCTAGGTACAGATTCCCGTCCCTACGGCCACGAATGTCCGGCCGGCGCGGAGGGGCGAAAATACCCAC